GTATTATATAAACTCCTGCACTGCTGAAAGGTTGGGGAAGTTACAAGGACACATTTGACCCTAAACCCTTTCCTGGGTCATAAGTATTATCTTACCTGCTGTAGATACGTAGCTCTTTGAATTACCTAAATTTGGAGTTTTATCATTTAATTCTGATATATTCATGAGGTGAATTGATGAGAACAAGACCTAAGTGGATTGTTGATAGTTTACAAGCTTCAATATCAAATCTGGAAACATCCATCCATCCATCCATTTTCTTTACCCGCTTGTTCCATTTTGGGTCCCGGGGGTCGCTGGTGCCCATGTCCAGCAATCACTGTGCGAGGGGCGGGGTACACCCTGGACGGGTCGCAAGTCCATCACAGGGCCACATAGAAACAAACGAGACAAACAACCATTCACTCTCTCACTCACACCTAGGGACAATTTAGAGTTACCAATCAGCCTAACATGCATGTTTTTGGTCTGTGGGAGGAAACCGGAGTACCCGGAGAAAACCCACGCATGCACGGAGAGAACATGCAAACTCCACCCAGAAGGCCCCTGGACCGGGGTTTGAACCAGGGACCTGCTCGCTGAGAGGCAGCAGCTCTACCAGTTGCGCCACCGTGCTGCCCAATTTGGAAACAAACACTGTTTAATGAACTTATACACTGCCTTTAGCATTGCATTAGTCACTCCAGCATTCCAGCTTGGACTATCATCAGTTTATCTCCTCTGAGATAACGTGTCTGGTGATAACACAACCTGATAATGCACTGAGGGATTTGTGCTGCAGGTAAGATATTGATTACCAACAACAAATCCACAGAACACCACTCAAATAGTTTAAACTATCTCCTTAAACCCGTCAAGTTTTGTAGTGCTGTAGATGGTGCAACATCATGATTCCAGCTTCATTTGCAGCACTTTAGAGCTGTTTCACTCCAACCAGTGTTCTGTATTTGACTTCAGCGGTCCATCCATCCATCCATGCATACATCCATCCATCCATCCATCCATTTTCTTTATCTGCTTTTACTCTCCTGGTTCCAGTGAAGCTGTTACCTATCTCCAGTGGTCATTGTGTGAGAGGTGGAGTACCCTAGGGGCAATTTAGAGTTGCCAATTAACCTAGCATACATACTTTTGGTCTGTGGGAAGAAACCAGAGTATCTGGAGAAAACCCACACAGCCACAGGGAGAACATGTAAAGTCCACACAGAAAGATCCTAGGCCAGAGAGCGAACCTGCAACCTTTTTGGTGTGAGGAGACAGCTCTACCCTCTGCTTCATGCCACCCAGCTCTAAAACAAACAAACAAACATTTGAATACTTTCTGAATCCAGAACATGCAAACTCCACCCAGAAAGGCCTCCAGCTGGGATTTGAACCAGGGCGACCTGCTCACAGAGAGGTGGCAGCACTACCAACTGCACCACCATGCTGTCCACAATGACCCAACTTAGACAATGTCAGATAAAACTTCACATGTCACTACTAGTGGTGTTGTCATATTTTTAAAATGATTAACCTTTTTCCATTTACTAATGTGCATGCTCAGTGTTTGCAATGCATTGTGGTCTAGATAGATCCCTGCCTACTTCTGCTGTGCAGTCATATGTACACCTGGCAACATTGCACATTGAGGACATTTTGCTATTACAACATAGAATATCCATCCATCCATCATCTTTTACCCGCTTCTTCCATTTTGAGTCACAGGGGTCGCCGGTGCACATGTCCGGCAATCACTGTACACCCTGTACGGGTCGCAAGTCCATCACAGGGACACATAGAGTAAAACAACTATTCACTCTCTCACTCACACCTAGGGACAATTTAGAGTTACCAATCAGCCTAACATGCATGTTTTTGGACTGTGGGAGGAAACTGGAGTACCCGGAGAAAACCCACGCATGCACGGAGAGAACATACAAACTCCACCCAGAAAGGCCCCTGGACCGGGATTTGAATCGGGGACCTGCTCGCTGAGAGGCAGCAGCTCTACCAGTTGCGCCACCATGCTGCCCACCCCAAATTCAGAATATCAGAAAATAATAATATTA